GCCGAAGCAACAGCAGCAGCAGCAGCACGAGTAGGCGTGGCTGTAGCACGAGGACTTGCAGTAGCATAAGTAGGAGAAGGAGTCGTCGTAGGCGTCGTGTTGTTACCGACAATTTCCGAACCGCTCTAAACTAGGGAGATTACTATTCTTGATTCTGGCTTGTGCTGGTTTTTGTCCATAACGCCGGTAATATACGGCGCGGCCGTTGCGGCCTGTGCCGTTGTGGTCGTGATGGCCGTCGTCGTCGTGGTTGCAAAAGCACCCAAGCGTTTCTTCAATCGGGATATTGTGAACGAGTGTAGCTGTTGCGCTTCTAGTTTGGTTTCTTTTCAAGTGTTTGTGTGCAGCGAAGGTGGTACATGGCAACTGGGCATGCTGGTGGCCTACCTGTCGTCCTTCGGCTCAGCCGCTTGGCTAGAGCTGGAGGGCCAAGTAGGAACCTTCCCTGGAACGCTGCGAAGGCTTTGGGCCGCTTAGTCGCGGTGGTGGGCTCGGCCGTCGCCCTGAAGGAGCTCTTTCTGGTGCTGAGTGTGCACTGCAAGCAGCTGGCCAGTAGTGCCGGGGAGAGAGTTTTGGAGGTTGGCTGAGGCAAGCGCTGAAAAACGACCGCAGACTCCATGGGCTTTTGAGCTATCGGGTATCGCATTCAATTTTGCACCGAGTGCCTGCAGCACCCATCCCATGGTGGTGTGCCGAGATCCATTCGCCACCCTCATGGGGGCGGGAGCTGGGCAGCCGAAGAAGAAGGCCGTTGCATCGAAGCCGAATCAAGATCGTCAGGGCTTCTTGAGTCGCAGGCCTCTGACAGTTTCTTCACGGACAAGGTGGCCACCTCTGATGTCTTGAGTCTTGTGTCAACTGTGCAGGCACCAAATGAGAGAGCCGCCACTTTTGCGATTTTGCCGTCCAGTTCTTTCCATTTTCCTGTGCCCTTCCTCAGCCCCCCGCATCTCCCCGCGCCAAGTTCCCGCTTCTGCAAAAGATGAAGCGACCGGTGCCAGTCACTCAGAGACGAAGCCATGAGACATGGATAAGTCTGGGCGTGCAGCATCAGTACCTAAATGTCTTTTTCTGCAAGGCACCGCAAGTCCAGAAGTCTATGCGGAATACGCAAGACCATTCCGAATTTAGCTGACCCCCTTATGCTGTTTGGGGTTGCTAACCACGCCTTACGCCGTAGTGGAGGTTAACGTGGCATGAGCGCGCTTTGACAGACCTTGTGGGGCTCTGAAAGTGTGAGCCGCGAAATTGCAGCTCGCCGGGAGCCAAACCGGCGGCAGTGTAGAAATGCCGAGCCGAGGTTGGTGGCCTTTTTCCTCTACTGCTTCCACAGGGGCTGGGTGGGGCCACTGCCTCAGTTCTGAGGTTGCGGTGCTGTGTTGCCACTGTAAGCTGCCAAGCCTTTGCAAAACACGAACCTCGGAGAGCGGTTGGGGCTGAGGCGGTGGGGGCTGCTAAGTGGGATGATGCACGGGCCTCAGTCAAATCTGGGCATCTCGAACATGCTAGACTACACCGGCTGGCTTTTCCAGCCGTTTTGGTTTCCGTCGGGGCAATATTCCTTAGCGGCCATAGCACAAGGGTGCGTGGAATTTACCGTGTGCTCCTTCTGGTCGCGAGGGCCTCCGTTGGGCGTTGGGCCAGGACAAAAATTGCTTTGGCAATGGCGATGAACCTGCTGAGATAAAGAGCTTCTTGAGAAAGCTTGCAGCGAAACAGAGTGTCGGTTCAGAGAGAAGTTTGCCGCCGAATGATGGCTGAAATCATGGTGGCACCTACCTCAATGAGTGTAAGCAGCTACTGAGACAGCATCCTTGCAGCGTTCCCAAGCCCAGGGCTTCATCCTACTTCGACATGCTGGCAGTGCCTCTTCGGGTGCTCGATAAGCCGCGCCCTGAACAACCGCGGACTTCATCTCGGCGCTTCTCCCCGGCTTTTCTGGAAGCCGGTTCGGGTCAAGGCTTCGCAGCTGGAGTTTATGCCCTCCTGGACCACGTTAGAAGACCTAACTTGTAGGAAATACAACCCTCGTGCCAGACTTCCACTTACTGTTGGCATCAGGGAGCCGTCGCCGTCAGAGTTCTGCTGGCTACCAGTGATGTTGTGCCTTGGTGGGTCTGCTCAGGAGTCCCTTTCGTGGACGTGCATATATCGTCACCCAGATCTACGCCGCTTGGATGCTTGTGATCGTGGCACAAAAGGGCATCACAACTCGGGGTCGCAGCTTTCCACGCTCTGCTTTCTCTTGTGAGGTAGACTACTTGTTTAAGCTGACCGGCTACCTCATCAATGTGGCAAAGGGGAAGGCACCACGAGGGCCCAAGATCTGCGTTGCTTCAACCCTGAGGCTTGCGGTTGACGGCGATACTCGGTCTTATATCTATATTAAATTAAAATACATGATTCCAGTTTTATATTTTATATATTCTGTTTCACAATATCAGTTTTGTAGTATATCACATGGTTATATTTTCCTACTAAACTAACTTGTTTTGTAGCTGATGGCTTTATCATCTATGTTATATCATTTTTTGATCTAGACTTTTCAGAGCCTTTCTGGTCGCTCCAGCACTTCCCCAAAAGCCGTGGCAGGCGAAGTTCCCACCGGATTTTTCGCAAATGTTCGTGGCGCCCCTACTTCGATTTAGGGTTTAGGGCTTCGGATGGGCTTAGGGCACTTCCGGGTCTCGACAGTGCTTGCGTATGTATGGATGATGTGCGGCACGCACAAAGGTTTTCTTAGATGCATTTTGTTGTAACATTGGGTAGCAGGAGCACACATCATTATAACTTGAGTGTGTTGAGCTACACACTGAGCCCTACAAATTGCTTTGCCAAGATAAGAAGACAAGAGTCCTCTCCAACTAAATGGAGGTAGCAAGCAGTATTTTCTGGGTCTTTTGTGTTTTCTTCAATCCTCATCACCCGCCTTATCCGCCGAGTGTCGCCGTTTGAGCGCCGACCAGCGTTTGGTGCTGTCCCAGTGGTCTGAAATCTCAAAGCGCGCTCAGACTCCACCGGGCGGTGCCGCTGGTGCGAATCCCTTTGGTGCACCAGGCAGGAATCCGTTTTCATGTCAGATGTATCAAGGCCGTAGGTTTTGGGTGTAGTCGCTGAGGTGACCGTTTTCGGATTTCGGGTCATTCTCTGTGTGGTTTTGCGAAGCTGTCACTGCCAAGTTCAGATGAAGCCTGTGAGCTGGAGACATACGCCCGATGCCTTGACTCGTGCCCAAGCCACGGCGGTTCAGCGACGACACACACTATCTCAAGTAGGCAAGCTTGGATCTCTTAGCGAATTTTCTAGCTGTTCGTCAGGTTGGAGGTGCTTAGACATTGCCATGGCGGTCCGCTGTGCACTGGCCCTACTCGCTGCTTCCGCTGCAGCACAACTCTGCAAGGATCAGGGTTGCATCCCAGTGTTCAGGAGCGGTGCACGGTGCCAGTGCTTCCCGGGCTGTGATCGCTACGAAGACTGTTGCTCAGACTACAGGACCGAATGTTTCGACTCCGCGGGACAATTTCGGACGACCGTCGTCGTTGAAGGAGGCTTCGAGTCACAGACCGAGACCACTTCACGGCCGCCGCGCCCGCAACCCCAGAAGCCCGTGCACTCGAGCCCATCTCACAGCGAAAGCTGCGCGACTCGCGGCTGCAGTAGCGACTTCGAGCCCGAACGGCCCTGTCAGTGCAATTCTGATTGTACTCTCCACGACAGTTGCTGCCACGACTTCGCAGAATCTTGTGGCACGAAGGGCGCTGAGAGCACCGAAACACGATCTTGCAGGACCTATGGCTGCGGGGAGCTTTATGTGAAAGGTCAGAACTGCCAGTGCAACCCCTCTTGCAAGGGGCACGACGATTGCTGTCCAGACTACCGCGCCGTCTGCCCACGTCAAGCGAGTGGTGGCTCGTGCAAGAGCTATGGCTGCAGGGAGCTCTATGTGGACGGTCAGACCTGCCAGTGCAATCCTTCTTGCACACAACATGACGACTGCTGTGCAGACTATCGTTCTGTTTGCCCACATCAAGCGAGCGGCGGCTCTTGCAAGAGCTATGGCTGTGGCGCTTTCGATCAGGCACAGAGCTGCCAGTGCAACGAAGCATGCCTTGATCATGGCAGCTGCTGCAGCGACTACCAAGCAACCTGTGCCGCCACCGGCACCGGAGTTGAAGCTACTGATGCTTCTTCCGGCTCGGTGAAGGCATCCTGCGCTGCGTACGGCTGTGTGCCCTTCGATGCCCACAATGACTGTCAATGCGACTCCGAGTGTTTGCGGCACAAGAACTGCTGCCCGGACTTTGCGGCGCACTGCTCTTCCAGACCGATCCGAGCCCCGCAACGTGGGCCGGGCTCGTGTGCAGAGCTTGGCTGTGAAGCCTTCAGCCCGGCGGCGATGTGCCAGTGCAACGATGAATGTGCCCGGAGGGGAGACTGCTGTGCGGATTACGAGGCAACTTGCCACCTGCCGAAGGAACCACTCGGCAGCTGCGCCATTTTCGGCTGCATTGGCTTCAGGCAGGGTAATGACTGCCAGTGCGACCCAGCATGCCAGAAGCATGGCAACTGCTGCAGCGATTACTCTGCCTATTGCAGCATGCATGCTGAGAAGCTGCACGGAACCATTCTGCAGTGAAGTGAGGAAACGGTTTGACGACTGGCCTGGCCCGAGAGGAGCTCCACTCCACTTCGGCCACGTTGAGGCCTTCAATTGTGCTTTTGGCTTTGTGTGTACAGAGAAGCGTTGTTGTGTGCAAAGAAAGTCGACAGTCGACAATCACACCCGGGAACTGGTTTCATGATCCCTCGTGCGAGCTGCGTTTAAACACCCAGTTCAGCGGAGAATCCCGGGCATGGGAAGCTGATCGCACAGGAGGAGCTTCGCAATAGGATGCAGAGATGGTGAAAATGCACTTACTTAGTTGGCTTTCCATCACTGAGGGTCTATGCTTGTCATTGATCTCTCCACGCAGGTAGATTAGAAACTGCATGTCTGCGTGTTAGTTATTCTGGTACTGGTAGCACATTGTCTCACTTGTGCCAGGGACAACTGGCATAGTCGTACTTCGACCTTGTCTGCAAGTTCAATGGAAATTGGCATGGTACTGTTTGCACCGTTAGCAGAGTTGAGGGAATGTTTAGTACAGTACGTAGCACCGGGTCAAGTTAGCACTGATCCTGCAGCGGAGGTGCCAATCCCTTCGGTGCTCCCGGTTCCAACCCCTTCGCTGCCACCTGGGCTGCACCCCTGTCATTGGGCCTACGCGTTTGCAACGGTGAGGGTTGAGGGGCTCCGTGCCTTTCTTTCTTCTCGGGGATGCTCCTTGGATTTATTCTGCATATCGGAGGGGCGCGACTTGAGGTTTCTTCCACGAGCCTTGATCTCGCAGGTTCCTGTATCTTTCTTCCTGCGGATCTGAGGATCTCGGCGGCAGCAATCCTTTCGACCTAGGCGGCATGGCTGATGTTGCGGCCTCAGTGCGTGACTGACACGGATCGAAGGCAGGCCTTTTTCCTTTTTCTCTGTGGGAATCCCGAGAGGCTGCACCCCCAGGCGGCCCCTATCAGGCACCTCCTGTCAGGAGCTCAGTGCAGGGAGGTCCTCATTTCTTGACTGTTGTCGTGTTAGGGTGCTCTGAGATGCGCACAGAGCAACCGCTCCAAGCGAGGTGGGCTGAAACTTACAAGGGAAATTCGGGACACATGCAGGTGCATTTTTTTGGCATCAGAGGGACCTCACCTGGGTCTCGGCACCCCACGCCGTGTCGATTTAAAGAGCTTCTCTCACGATTCGGGTTCCGGCCAATCTGGGAATTTCAAGTCACGGATCTCCTGGCGATCATTCTGCCATTGAGGTGCAGCCAACAGACATGCCCACGGCTGCCTCCCCAGCACAGAGACATGAGGGGATTTGTCAGGCCGTGCAGGAGACTGGGGGCATGCAAGCGGTCTCACCGAATGCAATGCTGACAGGCTCCGACCGTGCGCACTGCCACGCCCCCGCCGGCAAACCCAGTCCAACAGCTGGCACAGCTACTTTCTTTCGGAGCTACCGTTTGGTCGAAGATCGGATGTAGACGGTATCATGCAGCTGGCAGTCGACCCCCAAAGCCCATTTTTCGAAGGCTTTCTTGCCACTTGCCCCACAGTCTTCCTTTCTCTCTCTGTCCATGTGCAGCTGTCTATGTGTCTATGTGTGTTCTCCTCCTATTAAGAATGGGAATTTATTCATTCGTAAGGTTGTAAACACGTCTCTACAAAGAATTGGTACGGGCGCAGGGATGTGTGCCTGAGTGGGCCCGTGTCAATGTATGTGCTGACCGAGTCCGAGAACCAAGATATGGGGATGTCCTTGTCCTTGTACTAGCAGACGTTGGAAGAAGAGCCCGCAAGAAATCAAGCAGCTCTCATGCAAAAGTAGCACGAATGTCTGTAACATCACCTGTAGTCTGTTAAGGCCGAGCCCGGCAGCAGCACCGAGGTTCCGACATGGGGTTGCAAGCGATTAAGGGTTTTGAGGCTTGGGGTTTTCGCGTTTAAGGGTTTCGGGGCTTAGGGGTTTCAGGGTTACAGGGGTTTTCCGTTTGGGGGTTGGTCGAGCGGCGTGCTCCTCAGTCAATACGATGGAGGGGTGGCTGAAGCTGGCTAGACTTGACGTACTTGAGGGCTTCGGGGTGCAAACTAGGTGTGTACGCTGTTGGTTTGTTTTGTGGAGTTTAGATATGTCGCGGTTGAGTTAACAATAAACTGCGCTAAAGGAGAAACGTCGGTAGGATTCACACTCGCGGGCTTGTCTCGAATTCACTGTAGAATTTCCAGGGAAACCGGATCGCTGATCCGTGGTAGAATTGCAAGCGCAAGAGCGAGAAAGCAAGCTGCATGGGACGCAGCTAGGCCCGCCTGAAGATCCGAAGCCGAAGTCATCCACCCGTCAGCACGTCGAACGGCCTTCAGGAGCCCTGAACCCCACCTCCAAACTCCGAAAGCAACTAATGGGGCAGGATTGAGGGCTTGCGGCCCCAACCGCGACTCACGTGAGCTTTGTATGGTGTAGGGTCCATTCATCTGTCGTCAGTCGCACATGTCCGTAGATTGGTTGCTGGCACATGTTCCACTTCCCGAGCGTACTTGCCTCCTGTGGGGGCTCCCAGTACCCAGTTCAATGTCTAAACAGGCTGCTTGGCGTTGCTGCACTGGGCTTGGTCACTCAGAGCCCTAACCCAGGATCCGCAAGCACTGAAGCACAGCTTGATCCAGCAAAGCCCCGCCGCGCTAAAGTTTGGCTGCGCTGGATGATATGGTTAGGGTCCGGGTCCGAGATGGGACGCGTCGGAGCCTTGCCCGCTCTTATGCGAGGGCAAGAGCCGGCACCCTGGACCCCTTTTTGTAGCCGTAAGTAGGCCTTACAGTAGCAGCCTTTCCTTTATAGTAGCCCTTAGAGTTTTCCGTACAGCAGCCCTTATAGTACCTAAACCCTAAACCCTAAAGCCTAAAGCCCTGCCCTCTTGTTGATCAGGGGTAGTTAAGTGCAAGCCAACATGGTTTCCACAAATGCTCGAACTTGTATAGTGCAACCCCTCCAGTCATTCGGATTGTACCCTGCAATGCGGGCTCGTCTTAGCAGGTGGGAGGCAAAAAAAAGCCTAAAGCCCTAAACCTAGGTAGCCCAAACCAAAAGCCGAAGAAAATGCAGGCCCACGGTGCAGATGTCAGCGGAGCCGCCCGCTTCGCCTCCCAAGCCGCCACCCTCGAGGCTGACGAAGAAGTGTTAGGATGTAGGGCCTTCAGGGTTGGGGGTTGGGTTTTAATATTTAGGGTTTGGGGTTTGGGTTTGTATGTTTCGGGTTGGGGGTTTGGGGATTTGAGGTGTGGGTTTGGGATTTGGGGTTTTAGGCTGTTCAGTATCACATAGAGCAGGAAGCGTAGAGTGAGAGAGAGAAGCCCTGAAAGCGGGTTGAAGGCAAAAGTTTTCGAACAGATGGCGGTTCCAGTGCAGAAGCCTCTCCACGAGCTGTTCAGGGCCGGCTTTGGGCACTCGAGATGACTACCCAGAACCCTATCCTGAGTATGAGTGAGTATTGATGCTTTGCTTTCGCGGCGTTTAATCAGGCGAGCGGAGAACAGATTCAAGCCTGCCTAGTAAATGCAGTATGACATAAAATAGAATTTTGTAGAAGCAGAGTATGTATGTATGTATGTATGTATGTATGTATGTAGGTATGTAGGAATGAATGAATGAAGGTAGGTAGGTAGGTAGGAAGGTAGGTAGGCAGGCAGGCAGGTAGGTAGGTAGGTAGGTAGGTAGGTCGGGGGTTGGGGTTGGGCGTTTTAGGGTGTATATAATATAAGGGGCTAGGGTCGATGCTCAAA